TATTCCATGGTGAACTTTATTAAAGGCCAAGTCATAGTGTAACTCATGCTCAGAACTGGAGGTCTATCTCAAATATCATTTTTTCACTGGGAGCAAAGAGTTTTAGTTTCAGTTTGGGTTTGTGGTAGTTTGTTGCTGGAGCCGGCTTATGAAATTCAAAGAAAAAAGTAAAGATTCAGAGTATAATTAATTTGATTTGAAAAGTTAATCCTTTTTATCCTGGAATATTTTTCTTTACTAATTTCTTATTAATTTTAATATATAATTTGGCAGAGTTTAGGGTCCATCCCTTCCCACCTTGTTAACAAGAGTGTATGAAATATTATATGTATTTTAATCTTTGAATTATTTATCCATGTTAAAACAGTTTTAATCAAACAAAAAATATATCGGAAATATGAATTCTGGAAAAAAATTATTTCATAGAACAAACATAAAGGTAGCTTTTTAATTTATAGTTTAGAAATGAAGTAACTATTTTTAAAATGACATATTTTTTTACAAATATACTTTTTTATTATTATAGAAGTAGAAAATTAGATGTAGAAAAAATTAACTCATAAAAATGAGTGGTTTAACAGTATTATGGTTAAGGCTTTGTACACCTTGTTTACAATATCTAAAAATATTGGATTAAATTTTTTGAATTTAATTATGACATTACAAAAGATAACATTTTTAAGAAATGATTTACAATAATTTTCTTGTATAAAATATGTTTACACCTATTTTGTTTTTTAATGGTAAACTAAACTAAAATTTAACATACTTTTTTAAAAATATGTTTTAGAATGTAAAACACAAATTACTCAATTAAATTTTATCTTCAACATATTTATGGTTATGAATAACAATATTAGAGAAAAATATTAAATTAGCTGAAATGAAATGAATATCATTTTTAAATCATTTTCACAGTAAAAAAACAGAAATGAAGAAAAGAGTCTTCAAAAGAAAAGTCAGTAACTTTCTTGGGAGATACTTTATAAGAAGTACTAGAAAAAAATAGAATTAATAAATTATTTCTTTAAATCAAGTAAAATTAAAATGTTTCATTTCAGTAGAAGAAGCGTGGTAAAAATTCAACATAATTTTCATTTGTTAAAGACAGAACTACAGAAGACACAAAAATAATAAAGTTGGCTTGTATCACTAAACCATTATCTCCCTACAAAATTCTTACAATCTAAAAACATTTTCTTGGTTTAAATAACTAGCAAAGAGTTGATAATCTGTAAAAACCAAAATCAATCCATCAATCATTGTTGTATATACACTGACAGCACAAAGTATAAATAGGTTAAAGGTTAATATTTTTGGTGTATGCAAAACTAGGTGGGTAAACAATGAAGATTTTGTCAGTGACAAACACATGTATGCAGGTGAAGAGACAAATGAAAGGGGAGTGGAGATGATATTAGACCAAGACATGAAGAAATGTATTCTGGGATATCATCAACATATCAGAAAAAGCAATAAGATTTATACCTATATTTATAAAATATAGGTGTTTGATAAAGCATGTCACAATGAACTGTTTGAACAGCTAGAGAGGCTTCCTTTATTTGTGAAGGATATTAGAATATAAACTGCCTGTATATGGATAGAAAATGAATTCAGTAAATACACAAAAATAGAAAGTCTAGTAAGTCTAGGATGCATCTTATCACTGAACTTATTCAACATATACAGTGAGGCAATTCTGAGATAATTAGAAATCCTACCAAGATTCATTATTGGCGGACACAATCTTAACAGTATTAGATATTTAGATGACACAGTGTTGGTAAGCAGATATAGAAAGGAAACTACAGTAACTCCTACAGAAGATAGAGAAGGAAAATGAGAAGAAAGGACTAAACATCAATTGTAAAAATATAGAATGCATGGCTGTCAGCAAAAGGAACAGCCCAACCTGTGAATTACAAATTGGAGATAGCAAAATCAAGCATAAAATTTAAATATTCAGAAAATGTTTTAACAGAAGGGACAAGGCACATAGAAAAAGGAATCAATTGATGGGATTCAAATTTCTGACAGACAGAAAAGCTTTTTTTTCTTTATAGTGACAATTTATGTATATAAATTGTAGAAAGTATTTCTCATGACAGATTCAACAAAAAATTATATAACACTATTTTTTAATCAATTTTATTTTTGCTTTATAATTCTGAAAAAATAATGGAGACACAATTCTTGCTAATCTTCATTTCGTATTATTTTACTAATTTTTCTCTATTTTCTTCTTTTAAATACATACAAGAAACCTTTTAGGTTTTGTTTAGGATAAATGGAGAAGCCATAAGTTAATATATGCCCTCCAAATTATAATTATAGGGATGGATGTTGGCCTTATAATGTATCTGATATATTTTGTCAGGATCTGTTGAAAACTTGGCTTTATGTTTTGAATATATGCAAAAAATATTTACTAAGTGAATGAAAAACGTTAAGTTCTAAGGGAGATAACTCATGTTGCTCTATCTTAAAGGTTATGATATACCTTCAGAATTTTAATAATATTCTTTTTTTAACAAAATAAACTGAAAATTATCTTTGGAAAAAAATTAAATTTATACCAAGTGAAAAAAAAAGAAAAAAAATTTCAGGTAAATTCAGCAACTTCTGATTCCTATTTTAGAACTCACATGATGGGGAAAAATCTTTTAAAATTTTCTATTTAATTAAAAATACTTTTGATTTGTTCATAGATTTTGAAAAAAAAATGAGTAAAACACTTTTATGTAAAAGATAAAAGTACTTAAAACATAACTGCTCTTTATCTTACCTCTATTATAATCAACATCATCCTGACTGACCAATTGTTGAAATTTGTTGTTCACAAGTTGCACCAAGTAATAAAGAACTTCTTGTTAATTGAATCATAGTTGCAGTTCACTGTGTGTTACTCATGAATAACTTGGATCTATCAATCAACCTCTGTTTTCAAATAGGATTTCACACAAAAGTGAAAATTAAAGCTTAAGCCCATCAACTGCACTTTTCCATTTATACACTTGGTACTCCACTAAATAAAATGTGATAGGAAGTGATATTGTCTTATGAGTAAGAGAACTCAATTCTGTCCCTTTTAGAAGATTACCCCTCGGTTAATAATCCTTTAGAAGATTACCCCTCGGTTAATAATCCAACAAATGTGAACATGTTTAAACTATAAAACATTTTTGAAATTATATATAAACATTATTTTAACCTTTGAATATTGCATATAACTTTAGTCAAATTGACTCATACAGGGTTTTTCAAATTGTGGGTCCTGAGATAAATAAAATGGGTCACAACAAAAAAGAAAGAAAAAAATATGTAAGTGAGAGCAAATTGCAGAATATAAAACTCTAAATGTTGCAGCGCACTCATAAATCATCACTAGTTTTTCACTGAGGTAAGCACTCATATTATATTTTCTTAAATATAATTATATATATATATATATATATATATATATATATATATATATATATGTCTGTTCTCACTGAGTTTATGTATCTTGTTTGTCAAACTCATTGTGGACTGAGTTCATCAGTTCACTCTCACAAAGAGATCTTGTGCCAAAACTTATGGTGAAAAGCCATTAGGATCATTGAATAATTCAGTTGCATCTGAAGTCAGGGCTAAAAGTGAATTTCCTAACTCAATGTTGAAGTTGAGTACCAGTGCATTTTTTCTATGGCAGTAAGATGATGTGTTGTGTTCATTTGAAGTCTCAGAATTTTTGGTGATTTGGCTGTTGTTTCAGCAAAATTTAAGAACAGGATGGTTTTTTTGAAAGTAATAATTCTATATTCATACTAATAGATACATACAATTTCTATATGTGTGGATCATAAGAAATATAAATTTTCAATGCTAAATAAATGATCCTAGTGGGCAGAATTTGTTTTTGATTTATTATAGTATAATGGGTCACAATGCAAAATGTGGTTCTTGCTGTGGGTTGCAGTAAAAAAAAAAATTGATAAATGCTGGTCTAGTCCACTCATGTAATTAAGAATAAATTCTGAGGAGGATGACATATTCTTAATTCAAGTTGGAAAGAAGACAAAAAAAAAAAAAAAAAAATCAATATTACTTTGCTTAGGGACTTGCTAAGTGCCATGATTAATGATTTGAATGTGTAGATTTAATGTGAAATTTTCTGCCATAGTGTACTTCCTGTTTTTAAACTTAGAGATGTAATACTTGAATATTTTAATCAAAATTTTTTATTGGTTTGTTTTTTATGTTTACTATAGTGTTCAATGATTTAGATTATTTGGATGAGAGTTTTCAGTTTGAGTGAAGAAACTTGCTGTTTTACATGAAAGTAATCAGATTCAATAAGTTATGTATTAACGTCTGATGCCACTGGTTGTATCTAATTCAGTACAACTCTTTATATGGGCATTTGAAAAGTGCCTGAAAAATCACACCATGGGTTGACACAAGCCAAGTGAGTGAAATTGGGCAGATGGAACTCTTGGGAGTCATTGATGGATCGTGATTGAGGGTTTGAGCATGCTGGCCTTATTGGTCATGCTAGATAATGTGCTCTCTCTCAGAAACTGTAACTAAGGTCAACTCAGTACAGTTACAGTATAAACCACGGGTGGGCTTTGTGGGTTTTGAACAAACACTAATGTGCCTGAGCAATGGAGTTTATTTAGCTGCCCTAGCAGATTGGCATTCTCAGATGTGAGTGGCTGCACCATTTACACTTAACAACTCATTTTTTTGATATTGGAGAGGGGATGTATGCTGCCAAATAACCTGTGTTTCCTTGATAAATGTGCTATGAAGGACACAATATGTTACACTGATGACCTATTAAGTCATAGAATAATTAGATTTCTTGTGACTAAAAATAATTTTTTTTCTGCTGACCATTTTAAAATGTCACATTTTAGCCTGACAATATGGTTGTTAGAGGATTTGGAAAATTTTGTGATGATGAAAAGCATGGATTTTATGACTTGGAAAAAATATAATTTGTGACTAAATACCTTTTCCCTTGCATTGGCAAATAAATTCCATTCTTCAAAGATTGCTGCTAATTTGTCCAGCCCACTGTGATGGAAGTGCAAAATTTTGTATTGGCTTTCACGGCTAGCAATAACAACTTGACCTCGGGTACATTCCTTGTCTCCATAGAACAGTCGTAAAGAACGCATTTGGGCTGCAACAAAAAGAAAAATATTACAATCAGGATGTTTTAATAACAAGAGTATGACTTTGTTTGATGAATTAAACACTGAATTTTACTAAAAAAAAAATATTTGCAGGACTTGAGAAATTCCAGAGTGCATCTTTGCAACTAAACAGTGGTATACAATTTTTATATTATATTTTTATATTATATGTATGTCCATTAAAATTGGCCCCAAATAAACGTTGATTAAAAAACATTGCAGAAAGATAATATCAAATTCAAAAAGCTTTTACTTTTCTTAAATAATGAAGAACTTAACTAAAATATAATAAGCTATATTAATTACCATGTTATATATTAATTATGTCAATTATACACAGTTATGTAAATTTAAATTTGTTTTCATTCATTTTTTTATCATTAAAATATGCTACCTTTGTTTCATAATAGGGATCTTTTCTGTTAATTCACCCCAAATAATGTAAAGTTACTTATTGTAAATATTAATTCACCCCAAGAAATTATAATTTTTAAATCAAAGCTTGTTTGTTTTTTTTATTAAATTTTTGGCACTCTCTTGTTATGAAATAAAAAAGAATGTTTCATGTACTGTGTGCCAGATAGAACAGCCTCGACATTATTGGACACAATCCAAAACTGTATTTTACCTGGGACTATGATTATGTCAGATTGTTGGAAAGGACATACATCTTTGAAGGATGATCCCAATCATATTCATCTGACTGTAAATCACAGTATGCATTTTGTTGACCCAGAAACATCAACTCACACGCAAACAATTGAAAGTACCTGGCTGAAGGCCAAAATGAAGAATAAATCCATGTTTGGATTGGAATCAATCGCAGCATGATAGACTCATCTTATTTGTGTGAGTTTTTTTGGAGATGTAAGGCACAAAATAACAATGAATGCATTTTAAACAAGTTTTAAAGGACATTTCTGAATTTTGGTGTGAATTTTAGTAAATATAAACTCTTTCTATTTTGGAGTGAATTAACAGAAAAGCTCCCATAATAGTTGTTACATTTCAATGTATATTTCACACACTAATATAATAAATATGTAACAAAGGTTGTATTATTTTTTTCAAGTAGGAGACAACATTTTTAGGCATCACTCAAAAGTCAATATATAGTATATATCTGATTTAAAAAATACCATATAAAATATACATTCATGATATTTTTTTTAAAAAGAATAGATCCATTTTTAATAAACTTAAAATATTTACAATTCAGTTAAAATGCTTAATTTTTCAATTTTCAATCAAAATATGTTTGTAAAAAATAAAACTTTTTTACTTATCATTTTTAAGGTTTTTAAGAATTTGAGGGTATATTGAAAATATAAAAGCATGAATGAAAACAATTGTATCTTGTAGCCAAGCATTTTGCCTGAATTTTTTTCAATTTCTGATTTGCACAGTGACAATTAGAAATTAATATTAAGCAAAATTTGATTTGAGAAAATAAAATTTTTTGAATGGACAGTAAAATTAACCCAATAAAATTAAAACCTTCACATTTCTATCAAAAAAAAAAAGGTTTTCATAAATATTAATGATTCAGTGTTAATTTGAAAATAAATTTATTGAAATTCAACAGTTGATCTTTCACACTTTTTATACATTGAGGATAATCTGAAAGCTTACAAGAGTCAGCTAAAAGTTCTGGAGCTGACCAAGAAGAGAATGACCTCTAGCCATTGAAACACAGAGTTTCTCAAATTTCTTTAACCCTTTCAAAACAAATTCTGGTGTGAGATCACGGAGTTTGGCTGATAATTTTTCAGCACTCCTTGCAAATAGTGGGATTACAAAAACATTTTTTAAATAATTATTCAGAAAAATTATCTTAAAAAAATATTTTCTTCATTATCATCCTCTTCAAAGTTAAATTATTTTATAGAGGAAAAATATCAATGCTGCAGATATTCAAAATTATTTTTTAACAAGAGATCAAGTGGTTTTTGTTCATTTTTATATTTGCCCCCAAAATATAAAAAAGAAAAATAATGTGGCTTCTGATCTATTATTACTATTATTATTTTATTACTATTTTTACTTCAACTTATTGTTGATTTATGTAACAATCTTACTGGCTTAACACACTGACTACTAAAGCATATCCTATATCTTAAGAGTCCATTTTTCATGGCCATCTCTTTAACCCCCTTTAATTTTTATTTTAATCATATCATCACAATCAAGGCAACAAAGATGCAGTGAAAGAAAAGAAAAACATTATTAAGGAGAAAGAACAATAAAAGAAGAGGAATTAAGAAGACAGAAGATAATGATTAACATTACATTTAAATTTTTATATACATATATATACACACACACACACACACAGGGTGCAATGTGTAAATTGTTGCCATTTTATATTTTTAATTTGGCACATGCATGTTGTTTGTTTTTGATTCACAGTATATTATAGTCACTGTCTGTGAGAAAACGAGCATTATAACACAATTTGGTCTGCCAGAAATTTGGAAACTGCATGCTGTACTGCTTGGCGTTCATACCAGAAGCTCCAGTACAAACATTTTTAGAGTGTTTGGGTGTCAATCAGTGCAGAGAATTCGGAAAAAGTTTGGATAATATATCCAGTCAACATTGTGATGTTTGGAGTGATCACTAGTGATGTTGATGTTATGCCTCCATTCATTTTCCCACAGGTCCTCAGACTCAACATGGAGACCTACATCAAGTATCTTGAGAAGATAGTGCTGCTCTGGGTCAAGAGGGTGGCGTCTGGAAGACCCCTATGTCTGGCAACAGGACTCTGCACCATACCACACAAGCAGGAGAATCCAGTTATGGCTACCAGACAATTTGTGTGACAGACCAATAAAACTCCTTGCAACACCAACAACAAACTGAAGGCAAGGATTATGGCAGCATTCACCAACTTAAACAAGGAGATTGTTTAGAAGAGTTGCAGGAGGTTCCGAACTAGTCGGGAGGATGTGGTTGAAGCCAATGGTGATTTTATTGAATAAATTTACTGTTTATTTCAAGATATTTTTGTATAATTTTGGTAAATATATCTATTAAAATGAGATGTCAGTATTATTTTCATCTTTGAGTAATTTAGACAATTTATACATCACACACTTATATATATATATATATATATATATATATATATATATATATATATATATATATATATATATATATATAAAAAGAGGAGGAGTACCAGAGCAGATGTGACAGTAAAATACAAAATTTTGATGACTAAGTAAGGTATGAAACTATAATCCATCTGTAATTGCTTCCTCTTTGATCTAAAGTGACATCTTTATTTTACTGCACATGGAATAGCAACATTAGGAGGTGCAACTTATAGCCTAATGGTTGGCAATATAGGAAATGAAACTGGCGAGCCAAGTTCAATTTTCAGCTAAGATTTATTTTCATATTGCATTCAAGCTTCAAGTGTTAGTAATTTTTTAAATGTTTGAAGTATTTTCACTATTTTTATTATTGTAATAAATATTTTTTATATTGTAAATTGTGATGAAGAAAATTAATGGTAATATTTTAAACCAAAATTGTGTTTCTAAGACAATTATATAGCAGATATTTATTAAAAAGAAACAGTGAATAAAATTGGCTATAAAACAATTCCATAAAATCCTTTTCTATCTTGTTTAACAATCTGGGATGTTCAAACAATTTCTCTTATGGAATTTCTTTTTTGATGGTTGACTGATTCTTTCCTGCATTAGTTTTAGGGGAACAAAAACCCCTTCAAACTTTTGGTGTTTATTTAGATTTTAGAAAGAGAAATTTTCAGTACCTACATGTAACTTGGTACTGTTACATGGGAGAGGATGGGCACCTTTCTGTGTATTAGTGACATAATCTTATAATTTGAGTATTTCTTGTATTAAATGGGTTTATAAGTTCATCCATTTATCCATGCATTAAATATTACTCTCACATCTGGTCTGGTGCTTCTGCTGTGTATTTAGAAATTTTTGATAAAATCCCAAGAAGAATCTGCAATATTATTGGTTCTAGCTCTTTCATCTTGGTTTTAGTCACTTTCCTACTGCTGTAACATAGATTCCCTGTGCCTTTTCCATAAATATTTTCATGGTAATTGTTTTGATGCCTCTGTTAATTCCTGTTCTGTTATTGTTCTCCCTACGTAATAATGTTTTTCTTTTTCTCATTCTTTCACATTCACCTTATGTCTTAGTGGCTTTATTGCCTTGCTTGAAGGGAAATGATTAAAAAAAAACCCAAAACAAAGATTTACTGCCATTATTGCAATTTGTCAATATAACAACAACTACTTATCAATAAAGCTTTTCTCTTGCGAGGAAGAATAGAGTGAAGTAAAGCACCAATATTTATATTTTTATTGATTCATTATTTTGTTTCTAAATGAAAAATAATAATTTGTAACAGATGCTGATTCCCTAAATTGATAAAAATATTTTTTCGATTTTATTTCATGTTAATTGTTGAAATAATAAAAATACAAAGCATGCCAATTGATTAAAAGAACAGTTTTGTTGCAGGCAGAAGAGAGAAGAGTGTAAAGTTTAAAAAAATTACTTTTGTGATGTAATGGAATAACCTTCACCCCCATGAATAGTAACTACCTATAAGTATCTGTAAGTCAATGGACTACAGAGACTAGCTGGGATCTGTTGAGGACGACTCAGAACTACTGACCAAGAACTACTGACCTTCTAATGGTAGCACTCACTACTGGATTGCCTTGCGATGACCTTGTGCATAACTGTTACCTTTATTCTTATTGCACTGTTTTTTTACAATAAACCTTTACTTATTTTATCCACTTTGCTTTTCATGTATATATTCATATTAGCACAGAATATAACATTTTGAAATACAGAAAATTTATAAATTTAAAACCTTTTTACATGGTCGTGTATGTATGCAGGGGGAAAAAATATTTTATATTATAGTGAGCTTCCATTGGTTGTGACTAATAAGAAAGATTAGGTTAACAGTAAAAAATAAA